CCCGGGCTACTGACCTTAACACGGGCCCATGTGTGGAGGCTGTGTTAGGGGTGATATGATTCTTTAGCCATTCATACGCGTAGCGGCTATGGTGGCCGTCTCCTGCCCCTGTTAAACAGTCAGGACCGAATCACTTGTAATACAATGCTAGGAACGTGGGCGTACATTCTATTTCAAGGCCGTCTTTCAGTGCTTTAACAGATACAGGTTTGCTGTCTTCGGGCAACTGTTCATTTTTTTCGTTAGCTTCAGATCCAAGGCATTCCGAGAACTAATCTTCTTTTACCGAAAATGTATCCAAAAGCCGCTGCCTAGTCTCCGGGTGAACACATTGATGGCACTGGCAGTTGTCCCTCAGCCAGAAACTCGACCTATATATCTCAAAACGTCAGCTTGATAACATATTTCAGACAACATTAAGTAGACTACCATTTGCGTCCTTCGAAACCTGGAATAGGTAGAGACACGGAAGACCCAGTCGACGACGTGTCTATTTGGTGCTCCCCAGCTTGTGCTCCTGCCTTCACGGAATATGAAAAACATCTAGCGCCTCTGGAGCATAATGACACAGGGTATATATGGGGCACCGGCTTGACTTTATGGCCCTATTTTATGCAATTGTGGCGATTCTATCAATTCCCATTTATATGGAACATATGGAGATAACCAATGGCGCTAGGGTGGATAGACAAACCAATGCTGGCACTGACAATCGGGACATACAGCTCCTCGATCTAGGACAAATTTTAGCAAATGCACTGTAAAAGAATATACAGTGCTGCAAATGGCTATAACCTACTGTGCAGTACACGCGGTACGAATTAGTTGAAGGCCGTTCATCTTCATCATCTTGAACTGCGTTGGTAGTAGAAGTGGGGAGTAGATATAAAGATGCAGTAGCCAGAAATAAGAATGAAGTCTTTCTCTGCTCTAATCTATAAAGCGGGGTTACGCGAGCTCATCAGGAGGAATCCCGTATAAATATAAAAGAATGTCTGACCCCACTAAGAAACAATCAGCCTCTTGTTAATACGGATATCTAGCATCATCGTGAATCCAAGAAACCTCCGCAATAGAAGCAAAAGAGCTTTGTGATTGGATACTTTCGTCCATGTTAAAATTCCGATATCTCGAACTACATCACGTGGCGGGGTACTTCCTCCGGCTTTTAAGGAGCATCTTTATCATTGATATTCATTTGCAAGATCGAGGGTGCGTTTGCTGTACCTACAATGGAGGATTCATATATCATCCCAAGGGAATCAAGGGTTACTTAAGGCTCGGAAACGCAACTCTCAAAGGACAGGCTTGTGTGAACATCGCTGTACGCAGATGAAATCCAAAACGCAAGGACTAGTAGCTAGGACGAAAGGATACCCATACAATCAGGGCCTAAAGCTTGCTCTTGGCCGCTACAACCTTTACGAGAGCACGACCATTGCTCAAGACGACCTTGCCCTGTCCGTTTTTGGTGAGGAATATAATTTCTTCAAACCCATCCTCAACATTGCCAGTCCTCCACATCTCCGTGATCAGTTTATCACCAGGTCGAACAGGAGAAGCAAACCTAGCTTGGAATTCTTTCATGTTCTTAGGATCGCTGCCACCGAGCTTTTCAAGAACAGCATGGGCAGTCATGTTCCAACTGAAAAGTCCGTGGATAATGATACCGCCGAAACCCATCTTCTTCCCAGGAACTGGATCTGCGTGGAGTGGGTTATAATCGCCATTGAGACTAAGGAAGCTACGCGTTAGTAACAGAGGAAACAAAGTCCAGGAAGAGATACTTACCGATAGAGTAGAGAAGTGTTTTCAGTGGTCTGGTACTCATGGACTACGTCAGGAGTTTTCCCCTGCGGTGGAGGGAAGTTGACACTCGCGGGACCTATAGGTATGTTAGCATCGAAAGCACTATATGAAGCTTTGAACGTAGCTCACCCTTGGGACCACCCCAGTTTCCTTGACCAACATAAAAGCCACTTCCAATGACCTTTGTGTAAACCTCCTCGCTCTCTTTATCCACGATCAAGTTTTCCATTTCCACCACAGTGCCGGCTTTGCCCTTATCATATACGCCGATGACTTTAGATCGTAGTTCGAATTTACGACCCTCGCTCGTCACCGGCAAGGGCTTATAGAAGGTCATCTTCCTCTGTCCATCGACAGAACGTCGAGCATCAAAGGTAGGGACACCTGGTATGTCCCTGGCAGCCTTGCTGGCGTAGAAGTCGATGACCTCTTGTGCAGTATATTTAAATGCTGCAACGACTCATTAGGGCATGGCAAACAGGGTACAGGGCTGCACCGGTTTAGATTGGTATATAAACGTACGGAGGATGATAGGGTATGTTGGGAAAGCTGCAAAGTTGGGGTGTAACTCCTATTTTCTCCAACAATTAGCTAACTAGCTTTCCAATTGAAGAGTTGGGTGTCCACCATGTAAATACGTACGTAGAGAAAGTGAAGTTCTTTAGACGTGCATCCAATGCTATTAGCGAAGAGAAGGAGGTCTCTCTTCAACCAGCTCACCGCTTCGCTGGGAAATTGATGGCCTGCTCCTGGTCCGCTCATATTTGCGGCTTTAGCTGTCTTGCTAGAAGATATTCTGCGACGAAAGTAAGAGATACGGAGGTGTAAGATAGATCCTTTATATATAAATGGATGTGTGTTAATTACAAGAACAATTGCAGACCTGCTGGTGCTCTCGGAGGTTAAGTATTCGGCATCGAAAGCTCCTTGCGGGGAGAAGTTAACTATTTTATTCCCGAGCTAAAGTTGATTGGGCCGAGGCTTCTTTTTAGCGTGAAATAATTAGTCATCAATATCTCATTCCTGGAAAATATTTTGTAGAAGTAAGAATTTTTAGGGAGAGATTTTAGCTGTGCTGTAGTGTATGCCCAGCTAACTATTATGAGACGGAAAATTAAAATAAATGTATGCCAATAAACTAAACAAATCGGTTAGACTAAGCATCAACTCGAGGGTATCAATTGCAAATCGAGGAGCTTTATAAAATCGCCGTTTATATCATCATCAATCTCTCCTTTTGTAGTCCAAAGCACTTCATAACACGCCAGATTCATTCCCAACGCCATTGCCATCTTGTTAGATATAAATTTTCTCAACTCATACGTTCTGTACTGAAAGAAACGAAAAGACAACGTCCCATGTAGATCCGAATCGATTTGAGCAAAAAAACAACGAAAAATGAACGCGAAAATAAGTACGGCCAAGCCAGTAGATAGGATAAGGTATCTAGCACATCCTGTATTGACAGAGGCCTTGGCTGTTGCGGGCGTTATCCTGGGCATCAAACTCGAAGTCTATCGTGATATCGAGATCACGCTTGTTCTTCTGGTTTGGTCGGTTCTCTAAGAAGCCGGTAACAGACTCTTGGGCACGGATGGTGAGGACGTCGCGAAGGTAGAAGACGGTCTGCTTCCAGTGGGTATACTTGGCGTGTGGGCCGGTTGAGAAATGAACTGGCTTGTGGCAGGCAGTGAAGTCAATGTCGAACCAAGCGATGAGGGCGTGGACGTAGTCGTCGCGTCTGGCGGTAAGGCTGAATGGGACCTTGAATGAGAGGTCCGCGGCGGTAACGGTGTAAAGGTCAAGGGTGAGAACGGCACACGGGTCGCTGACGAGGGCCTTGAGCTCAACAGTGTCGACAAGGGGCTCGGTGAGAGCAACATCCTTCATGGCCGAATAGTCGAAGCCGTAGACGTTGTCCCAGACTATCAAGTGGCCAGTTAGTTACTGTAACAATATGCAAAGAGTAAGATATGGGTAATGAAGACATACATCCGATCTTCTCCTCCTTGTATTCGCCATCCTCAATGGCTCCAAGGTAGATGGTAGCCTTGTCAGGACCGATCAAGCCGTTGGGGTTGAGGTATGTGTCTCTGGCGTAGAGAACGGTGTCCAACATGGACTCGTAGAGGAGAAAGTATCCCATCCACTCTGAAATGATGATATCAACCTTGGGGAAAGGGAGGTTTACCTCCTCCATTTTGCCTTGGAGAAGGGTGATCTTGTCTGACATTCCGTTTGCCGCCACGATCTCGCGGGCCTTGCCAATGATGGAAGACATGTCGACACCGATAACGTGCTTTGCGCCAGCCTTGACAGCAAACCTAATTGCGCAAGAATTGGTTAATGGCAATCCAGATATAAAGTACATTCGCATGGGATGAAAGGAATGACATACATGCTGAGAATCCCGGTTCCGCAGCCAACATCGAGGACAACCTTGTCCTTGAAAAGGTGTTTGCTATTGTAGATAGCATCACGGTACGAGCGAGTTCTCACTTCATCTTTCTATAGAAGTAATAGTGCATTTAGCATAGGTTCCCATCACAAATTGCACTTTAGTCCAAACTTACCAGCATCTCCTCGTGAATTCCTGCAATATGTCATCACCATTAGCAGAACATTCTCACAGACCCCCTCCTCACTTCATATATTGGTGGGGGAATGTTATTACCATAATGATCATAACTATAGAGAAGTCAGCAACTCTTGTATTCAAGGATAAAAAAACGCAGCACACTTGTTCCCGTGCCTCGAGTCAGGACATACCTCGTAAAGTAGCGGACCTCAGCATGGTCCATTCCAACCATCCTGTCCGCGCTGGAGGCAGTGAAGCCAGTGCTATCTGCTGAAGTATCCATATTTGCAAAGACCTAACGTATGAGCCGCGGGGTAATCGGGGCTACAAAACTGGACGAAAGAGTGATTCCGGAGGCCTCGTAGCAGGTAAAACGACTTCAAAGGTGAATCGTCCGTAAGTTGTAAAGAAGAGAAAGAAAAATTCCCGCCTTGCCAAAAAGTTAAGGCCCTCCACGTCTTTTTTTTTCTTCACCTTGAACCCACCCTTTAGAAAAATTAAAATTAAAAAAAAACACTTGCGGGAGATTTTCTTAGTTTGCAGTGTTTGCACTCTTTCCTGGTTGCCTTAGTCATATTATTCCTCAAGCGGGAAGAAACTTCTTAGAAAGACGGGGCAATTAGTTTAGTGGTATAACGTCCGTTTTGCATATTCGCGCTGCAACCCTACGGAAGGTCGTGATTTCGATTATCACATTGTCCATTTCTTTTTTTCTTTCTTTTTTTTTCTGCTTGCTTGCATTTGATCCAGAGTGTCCCTGTATATGCTTGGTATATTTTATTAGGACCTATCTCTATGTTTATGGATTATTTTTAATGTCTTCAGTGAGCGTCGCGTGCTGCCCCTGAACAAAGGGGAGTTTGGTCGCTATTAACTGCCAAGGAAGATCACCTATTTTTCTGGCTATCAAGCAGTTTTTGGAGCTTCCTTATCCATCTTGCGCCTTCAATCATGAAACCCACTAGGATAGCCTTCTCTCGATGGGTTCTGGCTCTCTGTGTTTGGATACTCCTGGCCGATATATCACAGGCTTCGCTAGGTGATAGACTCCCGGAATTCAAACACTGCGTCGAGGTAGCTATCCCCTGACTCTGCCACATAATGCGTGAGATAGGCGTCTGACTATTCTTCGCGAGATAGGACTGCAAGAAAGAGCAGTGTGAAACAAAGCAGGTTTCGCTCCGTGAGTCTTTCTTTGCGTGTTTATCATGCTCTTCTCGTCACTCCTGGCTAAAGGATCAAGCTTGAGCAGCACTATACCTTCAGCTCCTTCTTTGGGACTGTCCGTCGAACTGCGACTACACCTGCCAGCATGTCGTAACCAACCAGCGGGTGGCCAGCGAGCCTCCAATGCCTCACCCGGTCGTCCAGTACCATGGCAAATGGCCCTTTCATCGAATCCTAGGCATCCAGGAGCTCTTCTCCGTCCTATTCTCCCTCTTCAACTACCTCGCCCACTACCGCGGCATACAAGAAGTGAAGGAACGCATTCCGCAGTCTTACTCGCTGCGGAAGTACTACCTGTGGCTCGGCTACATCGGCTTGGCTAGCTGGACGTTCAGCATGATCTTCCACGCGAGGGACTTCCCCTTGACGGAAAAGCTGGACTACTTCGCGGCCGGAGCCAGTGTATTGTACGGCCTATACCTGGCGGTGGTACGGATATTTCGTCTGGACAAGCTGCGGCCACACTATAAGCCGTCTCTGTTACGGTGGTGGACGGTTTGCTGTGCCACGCTATACCTCATGCACATATCCTACCTGAGCTTCTGGTCTTGGGACTACACGTACAACATGGCTGCCAACGTCGTGGTGGGCATCACTCAGAATCTGATGTGGACTGCCTTCAGCATTAAGCAGTATAAGAGGTATACGAAGTCTTGGACAGCGTGGCCCAGTATGATTGTGGGATGGGTGATGTTGGCCATGAGCCTCGAGCTCCTCGACTTCCCTCCGATTGGCGGGTTTATCGATGCCCACAGCTTATGGCATTTAGGCACAGTTGTCCCCACCATATGGTGGTATGCGTATGTTGTACCCTGATCCCTCCTTCGGTGGCTTTTCTTTTTTCTTTCGTTTACTGACCATGGTGGCCTCTTCCTCCCACAGGTTCCTTATCAAGGACGCAGAGTTCGACATAACCGAGAAGCGCCTACGTGCTTAGTTCGAACTAGCAGGCCCTTGTGGAGCTATTAATATATTAATACATCTCTCACCTCATTAAATACAACCAATTATAACCTATATTACGGGGTAGTTCAAATGGACAATCAGTAAGGAAACAGCGATTGATCAATCGACTGCCGAGAAAAGAGACAATGCCTGCTTTAATGCGCTGTAATGTTGTATCATTATTATCCCATCTTTTATATTCCCCCCAATGTGCAGGCGAACTTGCAGCATGTGAAGCTTTTTCCTAGCTTAGTGCGCGCGGGCTGCAAACACGCCAAACACACGCCAAAAAAAGCCCCCCCACGCTTCTTTTCTGGCTCCCAAACCTCAGCTGATTTTCCCCCCTCGTTCCCCCTCGCCGTCTATAAAGGAGCTTGTTTTGCTCACTGCTAACGAACTCCTCTACCTCCCACCATTTCCACACACCATTACTGCAGAGGATAACATCACCAATGGCTTCCGCAGAGATTCAGCAGGCCATCAACAAGGCCGCTTCGGCTTATTCAAAGCCCGAAGGGAAGATTTTTGAATATGGAACTGCCGGAGTAAGTTCGCAAGCCCCCATGCCCCCATGTAATACCTTGATATCTTTGGACTAATCAATATGTTCTGTGTCGAATCTAGTTCCGCATGAAATCGTAAGGAGTCTAGCTACGTCATCGTTTCCTGCACATAGATCTGCTGGTCTAACGGGCTGCTTTATAGAGATCTCCTCAATACCGTCGTTTTTGCCGTAGGGCTTTTGGCCGGTCTACGCTCGAGGAAGCTCAACGGACAATATATTGGTGTTATGATCACAGCCAGCCATAATCCGGCAGAGGATAATGGCGTCAAGTTGGTTGACCCGATGGTATGTGGTGTACCGTTTGCATCTCCGTGTTCGTGGATCCGAACTTCGCTAATTTGGGTGTCATTTATAGGGCGAAATGTTGGAGGTAGGATACAACTTGAAGCTGTCACGGCTTGTTCGGTGGAATTATTGACTCATCTTTATTAGGCTGAATGGGAGGTCTACGCTACCAGACTTGCAAACGCCCCGCTAGAGACTCTTGGAGAGGAATACGCCAAACTTGTTGACGAGATTGAGATTAAAATGGACAACCCCGCCCGTGTAGTCTATGCTAGAGACACTCGAGCTTCCGGTGCCAGGCTTGCCAGTGCACTTAGTGCAGCCATGGATGCCTCAGGAGTCGAGTCCACCGATTTTAAATATATGACTACACCCCAACTTCATTACGTTGTTCGCTGCAAGAACACTTTGGGTACTCCCTACGAATACGGAGAGCCAACCGAGCAGGGTTATTACGAGAAGCTCAGCACTGCGTTCAAGAAGGTTATGAAAGGACGCACGACCACTGGATCTGTGACGGTCGACTGTGCTAATGGAGTGGGTGGGCCAAAGCTCACAGAACTCGTCAAATTTATACCAGCTGCCAAAGATGGTGGACTAGATATTAACGTTATCAACGATGATGTCATCAACCCGGACAGGCTGAATTCTGAGGTAATACAGTACTCCTATCCATGCACTCGAGGAAGGAGCTTGCTAACACAGATACACTCGTGTAGTGCGGAGCGGACTATGTGAAAACGAAGCAACGGGCTCCACCTTCCTCCAAAGCCAGTGGGCAAGACAGGTGCGCCTCGCTTGACGGTGATGCTGACCGATTAGTATATTACTATATGGATGCCGGTGGTGTATTCAGACTCCTCGACGGTGACCGTATCGCCACTCTTGCAGCCTCCTTCATCGGCGAGCTTGCAAAGAACGCAGGAGTTGCCAGCAAGATCAAGATCGGCGTTGTCCAAACCGCCTACGCCAACGGTTCCAGCACCGAGTATATTGAAAAGGTCCTTAAGCTCCCTGTCGTCTGCACACCCACAGGTGTCAAGCATCTTCACCATGCTGCTATGAGATTCGATGTCGGTGTTTACTTCGAGGCCAACGGACACGGCACCATCACCTTCTCCGAACAAGCCCTAAAAACTATCAAGACCGCCGAGCCACAATCTCCCGCCCAACAGTACGCACTGGAGAGCCTCATTGCACTCACGGACCTCATCAACCAGGCAGTCGGAGATGCTCTTTCCGACATGCTTTTGGTCGAAGTTATCCTCGCTCATAAGGGCTGGACCTTGAAGGAATGGGTTGCAACCTACACCGATCTGCCCAACCGACTCGTCAGAATCGAAGTACCAGATCGATCAATATTCAAGACCTACGACGCTGAGCGAAAGCTTCAATCCCCTGCCGGTCTCCAGCAGCGCGTTGATGATCTTCAATCACGTTATAATAAGGGACGAAGCTTTGCCCGTGCCAGCGGAACCGAGGATGCCGTTCGAGTCTATGCCGAAGCCGCTACTCGGTCTGAGACTGACGACTTGGCAACTCGGGTTGCGGCTGTCGTCCAGGAAGCCGGCAAAGCCGCTGCTGGGCAATGATCATAATTTTCACAAGACGATTGACGCTTTTACGGTTTGTAATGACGACTTTTCTCATGAGATGTTTTCCTCCCCAAAAAAAAGTTCTTATAAAATCATACAACATTGAATGGCTTTGCTGGGTTGTTAACGATACTCGAAAAAATATATCTATCTTTTGTTTTTAATGCTTGTTGCTTATTCGGAACAGCGTTCAGCTTCTTTTATACCTATCATCCCTCTTCTGACCCATGTTTGGCTGGTCACTCATTTGAAAAGGGGCCGCAAAATTTGACTACCATTTCAGGACCAGATCTAGATGCATGTTGTCATCGCTGAAAAAGCATCTAAACCAATATTTGGTGTCTTGTTTGCTATGCCCTACCGGCTCTAAAACTAGGTATTCCTGCATTTGATTATTAGACAGATATTTATATTCAGATTCAGATTTATCTCAAGAGCTTTTATGATTATACAAATATACTATGTCTCTAGATATTACACATTGTGTAGAAAACGCTAAGATACGACTGACCATGTAAACCATAAACTCGAATGCAGCATGAAAGAAGCAACCAGCAAGTTGATCACCTCTCCTCGCGGTCCATGTCATCTCTACCCCTCTTTGAGTCTCCATTTCTGCGCCCTCGAAGGGTGGCGCCTCTAGTCCCTCGCTTCTCGTGGAGATCTTTCATCTCAGTCACTGCAATTCGCTGAGCATCTCCTACCCTGTCACTCAATACCATGACCTCTTCTTTATCAGTTTTATGTTCAGGCTGCTGCTTCCCCAAAGCAGCTTCGATTCGCTGCCATATCTCAACCTCGTATTGCGTTACAACACTGATTGCACGTCCGCTCTTACCGGCACGAGCAGTACGTCCA